CTGCGGGGTTGTTATCCTGATCCTCACTGGATTGTCTAATGCAGGCATGTCAGACTGATGTTTTCTGGGCTACATGCGGGCCTCCCTCCACAAACAAATCTCCATCTCATAAGTTATACTTCCTTACATACTATATAAGGTAAACATGTGAGAACATTCTTTCTGTGGGAATGAATACTGCAAGTTGCAGTTTTTACTTTAATGGTGACTTCTGAAGTGCCATAATCTTTTTCTGGTGCGTTGGTGCGGCCCCCAGTAGACATAATGTGGCCCCCTGTAAGCTGGCCATACATTACTAGATCTTTATTGTTCATCATGCAGCCTGAACAAAGAAAAGAACAGATTTCTCTATCCAAAGGAAACAGCGTGGATGGACGAATCTCCCAATGTGGTCTTTGTACTCTGATAGGTGGCGCCTGCGCTTCATGAACGCGTGCAAAATCATGCAGTTTGGTGAGTGTTTACGCACGCCACAAGTGTTAACGGGGCCTCAAATATAAATCCGCAATGACAGCTCCAAGTTTTGTCCTGGAAGCATTGTACAGTTTTGAAAGCTGAATAATCTCTTCATTTTAGTTGCTTCCAGATTTTCTTTTCTTTTGTTCTGGACTTTTTGTTGATGATTGTGGCGGCGGGGCGCACGGCGGTGGTGCAGCCTGTTTGGTGGTTGTTGGATTTTATTTGTGTGTTTCTCTATTCTTCATCTGTAAATAGCTCTAATTGAAATGGAAGACACTGAAAACACAGTGAATTACATTAATAGGAAGGAGATCTTACAATCTTCTACTTTTTATTTGTATTCACAGTTAAATTCTTACATTTCTGGAAAATGTTCTGTATTTCTATTGCAGACAAGTATTAATTCTTACACGTAGTACAGGAATGAAGAAAATGCCTTTGACTCGATTGTCTTGCCATCACCCTGACTTCTTGTGTATAAGCTGTGCTACAGATCTGGACACGGTAATGGGCCTGTGAGCCAGAACCAATTAACCCCGCAGATGTCAGCGATGTCCGGTGGCCTGTCACTTCTCATAGAGCGTCAGGTTAGGTTTAGTCGGGAAACCTTTGGGGTCTGTGACAACCTAACACAGCCTTATATTAGCCGGGACCCCTGTGATGAGGCATCTGTAAGAAATTCCCTTCTTTTTCCTCGTCCCCCAGCAGGATGTGCATGTCTTGCGCTAGGTGGCGGCCGTCCAAGGCCTTGCCCCATCACATTCCTCTCATGCCTCCAGTGACACAGAGCCATGGAAGAGGCAGCGCCCGGATCCTCGGCAGAAAAACTCGCCGGGGCGTTATGGCTGGGATAAAAGTTGAACAAAGTTTACAGTGTACTCAGGTTCACCAGACAAGGGAGATCCTCCGAAGTTATGGACGTTTTACTGTAACTCCTAACAGGACAACTTGCAGTGAACTCTGAGAGGCCTCTTTATCCGCAGTCAGATCTCCACATTGTCGTGTTTACAATGATCCTATATATAGCTTGTTGAACATTATATTTCAGCACACTTTGCAAAGTTGAATAACCTGATCTGCATGTAACATGGAATGTCCTACGCTTAAAAAAAGCTGCAACATTTCCATTTCTGAAATCTGGGGGCAAAGAAAGCCTTTGTCAGCTGGTTGGGATAGGAAGTCATCTGTGTGTAAGGAAATCTTTTCCTCTCGGATTCAAAACTTTATCGTTTTTTTTTTCAGTTCAGATAAATTGAAACTTGTACTTACATCTGGAAATAATAAGAACAAAGTTTAAATTATTTTAAAGCGTATCTAAAGCCAACAATGTTATTTTAATTGTGGATGGATTAGGGAAGGGTTAGATACCCTGCCATGTTTTTTATTTGCTGTCTGTGTGTACTGGGGAGATTTGACCTCTTTGCTTGTGCTGATGGCCATTGTCACCAGGACAGAAAGTGATGGGAAGTCTAAAATGTTACAGCTGTCACTGGGACAGGAATTGAGGGGATATCTTCCAATGGGGCATACTTGTTTCCGGTGACAACAAATATGTCCTCACTTAGGAGAGATTTTCTCTCGTGCTGTGTTTTTAGCATAGGAAAGATGCAAGCTGAGAAAACAAGCTAAAGAAACCCTCCAGTGTGCCTCTGCACCAGATATACTGTGTATATACAGTGTATATGTATATATACAGTGTATATATATGTGTGTGTTTGTGTTTTTATATATATGTATGTACTCATTGTGGATTAATCTGTATAAAACTTTATTTCTGTGTATAAATCGCAGCTAAAGTTATATGCAAATCTGACTTTTCCTATACAAGTCCCACTTTTTTTTAGAGCATTTCCTTTAAAGAATCATTAGCAATGTGTTTTATTTATATGTCACGATACATAATCATGGAGGAAGCCATAGTTACAGTATACACATGTTGTGTTGCTTACTTGGTGTAAAAGCTCAGTCAATAGACTTTCAGTGAAAACAATAGCCCCTCCCAGTGGGTTATTTTATGATGGGGGTTATCGACATTTGTAAACTGAGGGGCAGTGAGAGCTCACTCTCTTAGTCGTGGGCAGGTTGCTGGTCAGTAGCACAGTAGCAGCGGGCAGGATGTGGTGTTAGAAGAAGACGCTTTTTGTTTTTGATGTGGCATGGCTGTGTACCCCAATACCCCATAAATAAGTCCAGTGTAAAGACCCAGGAGTTCCCGAAAAGAAAACAGAATTGAGTGAAGATATTATGACTTATCTGGAAGAACTGAATTTGCTGATTGTCTTATGAAATGCAGCCAACAACAGGATTTTTTCCCAAGGTTTCTACGTCTGCGAGAAGCATACAGCCCTTGGCTCGCGTGCGACTCGCCATCAACAACTTTCTCAGCATATGGTAGAGAGGAGAGTATGAGATGCGATTTGACACGCTGACTTCCCCCAGAAAGCGGCACAGAGCAGAGGCTTGCTGAGCCTAGCCAGGGGCAATATGGGGCTGTATAGTGGGCTGTCTGCAGAGAGGGAACTACAACTCCCAGCATCTGTAGTAAAGTATTGTTAGTACTTTGTGGGTTTACCAAACAGAAACTCCCCTTTATGTTGCCTTTACATTTCTCTTTAGTGGAGGTCACCGTCCTGAGATATGTACAGATTTATCTGGAAATGTTTTTATATAAAAGAACTCGCTGTCATTTGTGTGGAATGGCCGAAGCTTTTGTAATGGACCCCAGTGAGAAAGTCATTTTATTCTGCCACATGTTTCAGCTTGCCAGCAACTAGATAAAATTGAAGCTTCGACTTTGGGTGGATGTACCCTTTGAAATGGTCCAGCATCAGATGTATTTTTTATGTTAAGTGCAGCATGATAAAAAAATATGCAAGTGTAACACTTTGAGGCGCTTACCTCTCACAGAGACCATAGTACACCCTCTGAATATGCTTTAACCTTTGTAATTTCTCTCCTGGGGAACAGAGCCATCTTTGTTCAGGCATCATCCACAGTCAGCATCTACTTACCAGACTGATATGCTGGCTCATAGATGACACAATCATGTAAATTCTGGTGTCCTTGCAGTTCTTTGCTCTGTTCACAAATGTCTGACACAGATCATCCCCTGTTACAAACACCCATCTTGTGACTTTCTACAAAGTTACAAAATATAGTCTGATCATTGGGGTAGAGGACACTGAGGAAATGCTTCTTCCTGCCTGCAGCCGACTAAGGCATAGGCAAAGTCACTGCTTTTTAAAGCAGAACTCTGGGCAAATCAAATCTTAACCCTTGTAGTGGGGGGCTATCCCCCCCGCTCGTGCTCATTTTGTCTGGTCCTATCAGGCTCGCTCCCCCTTCTCTGCAGTGGTCTAAGTAATCATCACGTTCTATACACTGTATAAAATGTGAGAACACTAAGTGACATACCATCACTGAAACAGGAGGAGAGAGGCTGGAGGGAGCAGTGTAGGAGCCAGCTGGGATTGAGATTCGGGTGAGTATTACTATGTTATTTTAGCTCCCTAGACAAAATGAGCACTTAACCCTTGTAGTGTAGGGGGTAGCCCCATTGCAAGGGCTAACATTTGATTTGCTCGGAGTTCTGCAATAACAATGAAAGGTATATCTTTTTTGAAAAATGATACTGTTGCTGTATTTTGTAAGATGCCAGGAATTTATTCATGCACACTTGTGAGGTTTGTGAGAGGTCCACTTTAAATAGGGATGTCCAGATACCAGTTCATATACCAGTACCGATACTTTGCATTTTCATGAGAACTACCAGGGTTGCAGCGGTTGCAGCTGGGACCGGGCTCTGGCGCTCCACCACTGTCCTGAAATCATTAGTCTGTAGTGTTTAAGAAAAACTGTCACATGACAATAAACAAAAATGTATCAGTACTTGTATCTGTAAGTACTTGGGCAAGTATCAGTACTTGTACTTGAAAAAAATGTATCAGTACATCACTTATATATAGTTATGAAAACAAATCATACATTAAAACAGAGATGTACAAATCCCAGGAGCTCCGTATGCTCCTTACAAATGACAGTCTAGTCTTGGAGCTGGAAAAGTATCTATACATGTACTTGTACTGAGTACGGTACTTGGTATCTGAACATCCCTAACTTTAAAGCTCCTACATTTCTGCTTGGTTGTTATGAGTTACTACAAATCAGAGCTCTTACAGATAGACAGCAGATTCAGCTCTCATATCAACCAATCAAGTCTAGAAAAGTGACAAGTGAAATGCAGTGGTTGATGAGAAGAACCCTTTAAACTGCTATATATGTCTTATATACGGTTTGAAAACAAAATGATGAGATTTTTAATAATGTATCCAGGTAAAGAACTGGCTCTTACACAGTATGTCATTTATTTTTGTTACTTTCTATAAATCTTTATTTTTGAGGTGGAATATTATTCTGGGGGTTGAGTAGAGCTGGATCGGTTTATTTGTAGTGTCATGTATACTTTTTTTTTTGTCCTGTACAGTTTCCAGTCAATGTATCATCGTAAGATGTGCTAATTATTGTCCTCTTCTGCCACACAGCGGTGCAGGAGGAGCGTCAGCGGGGAAAGGACAGAAATGAGAATGACGTGGAGTGCTCCAGTAGCGCTAACGAAGATATGCCCGTGGAAAAGATCCTGGAGGCGGAACTGGCCGTGGAGCCAAAGACTGAAACCTACATCGAAGCCAACATGGGCCTTGCTCCCAACTCTGTAAGTACTTGTGACCAATAATGTATCTGTGGGCTGCCTAAAAGGAATTACAAGAAAAAATAGGGCAGTTTTAACCAACACTGGCAGAACTTCAAGACCCAACATAAAATGGCAGTGGATTTCTGCTTAAATACAAATGCTCTGTACTACTATCCAATAATCACAAATGACACTGCAAATATGTGCCTAATTTGCATTGATGTCCCAGGTCTCTAGTGAATAGATAGGCTGCATTCTCAGTGATGTCACCGGTCTCTAGTGAATAGATAGGCTGCATTCTTAGTGATGTCACTGATCTCTAGTGAATGGATAGGCTGCCTTCTTAGTGATGTCCCAGGTCTCCATTGATTGGATAGGCTGCATTATCAGTGATGTCACCAGTCTTTAGTGAATGGATAGGCTGCATTCTCAGTCATGTCATTGGTCTCTAGTGAATGGATAGGCTGCATTATAAGTGATGTCACTGGTCTCTAGTGATTTGATAGGCTGCATTCTCAGTCCTGTCACTGGTCTCTAGTGAATGGATAGGCTGTATTCTCAGTGATGTCACTAGTCTCTAGTGGATGGATAGGCCGCATTCTCAGTGATGTCACTGGTCTCTAGTGAATGGATAGGCTGCATTCTCAGTCATGTCACTTGTCTCTAGTGAATGGATAGGCTGCATTCTCAGTCATGTCACTTGTCTCTAGTGAATGGATAGGCTGCATTCTCAGTGATGTCACCGGTCTCTAGTGAGTGGATAGGCTGTATTCTCAGTGATGTCACTGGTCTCTAGTGATTGGATAGGCTGCATTCTCAGTGATGTCACTGGTCTCTAGTGAATGGATAGGTTGCATTCTCAGTTTTATCATAGTTTCTAGTAAAGCTGTAGGCTGCATTTACAGTTATGTTGATCTGAAGTGACAGGTTCTCTTTGAAACATCTAATAGAAAAATAAAAAAAATCCATAACAAAGTCAATTTTCCTGAAATGTCTATCACCATTCCTTAATGGAAAGCCTTAAAGGAGAACTATGAGGTGAGTGCTTTTCACTCAGCCTCATAATCTGAGCCGACCTGTGACAATGAGATTGTCACAGGTCGGCTCAGTAGATTGGGAGGTGAGCGAACACATACCGGCGTTCGCTCACCTCTCGATCCTGACACGGCTCTCTGCCGTGACGGGAGGGGCTGGATTCC